CGGACCGGGGCACGAACCCGTGTCCCCTGCATCGGCAGGCGGGCTCTCAACCACTGCGCCACCAGGGAAGCCCGTGAAGGGGATTTTGTAACAGATGGATGTGAGACCAAATCCCGGCTCTGCCATCTATCGACCATATAACCTTGGGAGAGGTATTCATCTCTCTGAACTTCCACTTTCTCATTTGGGAAAATGGGGAGACTCCCATCTTCCAGAGCTGTGGTGAAAGAACCTGTGTGAAGGCTACTGAACCTCATAAACAGTAAGTGTTTCTGCTTTTCCCTTTCAGCTCTATCTTGACTCTGTCCTTCCTGAATTAGAGACAGCCATGAAGATGATGCTATCAATGTGTGGAGTCTACACGTCCCCAAATGCTCCTTCCTTTTTTTTTTTTAAAGAAGATGTTGGGGGTAGGAGTTTATTAATTAATTTATTTATTTTTGCTGTGTTGGGTCTTCGTTTCTGCCCGAGGGCTTTCTCTAGTTGTGGCAAGCACGGGCCACTCTTCATCGCGGTGCACAGGCCTCTCACTGTCGTGGCCTCTCTTGTTGCAGAGCACAGGCTCCAGACGCGCAGGCTCAGTAGTTGTGGCTCTCGGGCCTACTTGCTCCGCGGCATGTGGGATCCTCCCAGACCATACAGGGCTCGAACCCGTGTCCCCTGCATTAGCAGGCAGATTCTCAACCACTGCGCCACCAGGGAAGCCCTGATCCTCCCTTTTTACAACAGAGAATTTCAAACATTTATAGAAAAAATAAACATGATGTATAACAAACCTCCAGTACCCGTTACCTAGCTTCAACTACTACAAGTCACTTCCATCATTTTCATCCACAACTCCATCCACTCCCTACCCTCTGTATTATTTTGAAGCAAATCTAGACATCATATCATTTTATCTCTAAATGTTTCAGTATGTATTTCTAAACAGCAAGGAATCTTGTTTAAAAAATATGATCATAATACACCTTAAATATTTAACATTTATTCCTAATATCATTAAATATACAGAGTACTTAAATTTCCAATGTCATGCACTTTTTACAGTTTGCTTGAATTAGGTTATAAATTATATCCACAAATTACAAAGGGTGTCTTTTAAATCTCTTGATCTATTAGCTAACGTGCTTTTCTGTTCTCTGTATTTTATGTAAGTTAGAGGATTCATCAGATTCAGGTTGATTTTGTTATTGTTGCTACGGTTATTACCTATATCAGTTAAGTTATAACAGCCACATGAATACACCAAGTGGTATTGCCATTGATGATGTAATTTTTTCAAACTGATGAAAAATAATTGGAAAAGGTCTGAACAAACCAATCTATAATCGTCCCTCAATGTAAGTAATTGTGTACAAAATAATTAAAAGTGTACAAGAATATTTTGCATTTGTATGTAATATGGAGCTAGGCTTTAGGCTCAAATAATTATAAACTATTTTTTATCTACATGAATGTCTGGCAAGTCATGTGGTATGTGGGAAAATTCTTTGCCAAGTAGGATTATCTGCTACATAACAGAAAAGCTAGCATTTCTGGATCCTGTCTGCTAAATGCCAGTTAGCACCCCACCAAATCTTTATGACTACTATTAATGTCCCCTCATATTTACAAAATTCCCCCTATGATTCACTTCAACTCCTTTTGAAAACCACTGGCTTAGTTTGAGAAGCAGTAAGAGAGGAAGTTGATTTTAATCGCATATATGCTCTAATTTGGAGAAGGGAAATATCCTGTGTGGGAAATAACTATTGAAACGTTCACAATTTCAAAGCTTTTCAAAGTTTTTCTCAGCTGACAGAATTTTGTTTCTCCAAACTATGCTAGAAAATGTGGATAGGTGCTCTGATAAAACAAATGAGGTCATAATGACATCATGCTAACATATGTGGTTCAAGTACAGAAATTTTTACAGCTAGGAAACCATCCAGACAGGTAGATTTAAGGAAACTGGGACAGTGGCACGAAATAATAAATCCATTTTTAATTCTTTTCTAAACATAAGTATAAATTTATAAATCTCTTTATGCTGTATTTATGCAATTGGCCTATAATGCTGATAAGGAATTTCTCTTTATCTCTGAGATGAAGAAAATAGTCAAATGTTTACTCTCCTCTCGTTTACTTGCCTCATTATGTGATATACTTCTTGCCTTTTTCTTTTATTAAAAGAGTTACTTTCTTCATTGTCCTTTGTATTTAAATACTGTTCATCATTCCAAGATGGAAGCCATTTTCCTTTTTTTTTTTAAGATATACATCTCTATATTTTGTTATTTTAACATCTTTATTGGAGTATAATTGCTTTACAGTGCTGTTAGTTTCTGCTGTATAACAAAGTGAATCAGCCATACATATACATATGTCCCCATATCTCCTCCCTCTTGCGTCTCCCTCCCACCCTCCCTATCCCACCCCTCTAGGTGGTCACAAAGCACCGAGCTGATCTCCCTGTGCTACGTGGCTGTTTCCCACTATCAATTTTACATTTGGTAGTGTATATATGTCCATGCCACTCTCTCACTTTGTCCCAGCTTACCCTTCCCCCTCCCCGTGTCCTCAAGTCCATTCTCTACATCTGCGTCTTTATTCCTGTCCTACCCCTAGGATCTTCATAACCTTTTTTTTTTTAGATTCCATATATATGTGTTAGCATATGGTATTTGTTTTTCTCTATCTGACTTCACTCTGTATTACAGACTCTAGGTCCATCCACCTCACTGCCAGTAACTCAATTTCATTTCTTTTTATGGCTGAGTAATAGTCCATTGTATATATGTGCCACACCTTCTTTATCCGTTCATCTGTCGATGGACACTTAGGTTGCTTCCATGTCCTGGCTATTGTAAACAGCTGCAGTGAACATTGTGGTACATGACTCTTTTTGAGTTATGGTTTTTTCAGGGTATATGCCCAGTAGTGGGATTGCTGTATCATATGGTAGTTCTATTTTTAGTTTTTTGGAAGCCATTTTCTAATCTAAATTGGAAAATATTTTATCATTATTCCTTGAAGTGGGAATTATTTGTTCATAGTAACTTGCTGGTTCCTGGTACACAGTAGATGCTTATTTAAATATTTATTGAATGTACTTACTCATCCAGTAATCATCATCATTCTATATCTTATTACTGTGTACAATCATTTACTTTCATATGGGTTAATTTTATTCCCATGCCATTATTATCATGACACATTGTGTGGATCTTTTTTTACTCAAGATAGAATCTGAATTAAGTGATTTCTTCTAAATCATGTTGCTGGTGTAACTAGAAGAATTTAGAACTCCTGGCTTTGATTTCACTGTTTCTACCAATAGGTTTCTTTTTGCCTTAAAATATACAAGTTTTCTGTTCCTGCTGCCTAGCTGTTGCCATGTGCTCAAAGAGCATTTGTCAAAACAAAAAGACAAAAAACAGTGATTAACTCCCCCAATATTTGCATACTAGCTTTAATCCTAAGAAATCCAAAATAGGATATCAAACATTTTGATGGCAAAGTTTGTCTGGTAGGATAAACAGCTCTCTTAAAAGCAAGTCACTGTTATTTGATGTCTGCAAACTGCAAGGCAGGTGCAGCATTAACATAGTAATTGTTGAGACTGGAACTTTGTAACTATGGAGACATTACTTCACAGTGTTCTAACAGGCAGTGTTGGCCAGATGTGAAAGTTGTAATCATAAAGGTAGCTTTGCTGGCTTACTGCGCAGCCTCTTGAGTTGCTTCCAGTGAGTGCTACACACCTATCATCTTGACTTGTTTAATATTTTTAGCCAATATCAGTATTAGCTATATCAGTATTGGCTATATCCGTGCTTACATATTCATATTAGAATCCTGGTTCTGGCCCCAGCTTGGTTAAGAAATCATGAAGTCTGGCAGGTGCTTTAAGGTAGTTAGATTAACAAGTGAGGTCACTCAAAAAAGAAAATCTGCCTTGAAGCTCAGCTCTATTCACTGACTAATGTCATGATTTGTTTTCCCAGAAAAGAAAAGAGACTTCTCTTCCAGCCAAGATGAAAGACACACAAGCCACTCAGGAAATTTCAGCGGTCCTGCAGAGTGAAGTCCATGAGCAGGAAGATAAAATGGAAAATCAAGCGCAGTAAGAAAGGCACAAATGAGTTTTAGAAATTGAGGATGGAGTATTTGGCCTCTTTGTTTCAAAACAGCTTATAAAAAGTTAGAACTAGAATCGAGTCTACAAATTTCCTAAAATTAATTAATGATAATGTACAATTTCCCCAACCACTGTTTTATAAGGTTTAGTCTTTGAGTAATGTAAAAATTCACCTAGACAGATCTCCATCGTATCAGACCTGGTTGAGATTCCAAAGCTCGTATCTAGCATGTTAATTGTTTCTTTAAGGTAATTGGCAGACAGTTTCTTTAAAACTACTTTATTAACCCTGGGGACAGAGAACTGCTAGAGAATTTTGGTTTGGGAAGTGTCTGTGAGGATGTTAAATAAAAGCTACAACTCTCTTTTTACTACTAATGTAAATCATTCTATCAAATAAAGCATTAGCACTGGTTTTCCAATGTTTCCTAGAAAATGATCTCTAATATTGAATATACACAGTTTAAGGCTAATGTTACTTTAGATCTAGATGCCCTGTGTTTACTGATCAGTTCAAGTCGATTTTTTTTAAAGTGTATTTATTAGTCATCTGTTTTACACATATTAGTGTATATATGTCAGTCCCAATCTCCCAATTCATCCCACCACCACCACAATCCCCACCCCCCGCTTTCCCCCCTTGGTGTCCATGCATTTGTTCTCTACATCTGTGTTTCTATTTCTGCCTTGCAAACCAGTTCATCTGTACCATTTTTCTAGATTCCACATATATACATTAATACACGATATTTGTTTTTCTCTTTCTGACTTACTTCACTCTGTATGACAGTCTCTAGAGAGACTGTCCAACCATGTCTCTCTACAAATGACTGAATTTCGTTCCTTTTTATGGCTGAGTAATATTCTATTGTATATGTGTACCACATCTTCTTTATCCATTCATCTGTCGATGGGCATTTAGGTTGCTTCCATGACCTAACTATTGTAAATAGTTGTGCATTGAACATTGGGGTGCATATGTCTTTTTGAATTATGGTTTTCTCTGGGTATATGCCCAGTAGTGGGATTGCTGGGTCGTATGATAATTATATTTTTAGTGTTTTAAGGAACCTCCATACTGTTCTCCATAGTGGCTGTATCAGTTTACATTCCCACCAACAGTGCAAGAGGGTTCCCTTTTCTCCACACCCTCTCCAGCATTTGTGGTTTGTAAATTTTCTGGTGATACCCATTCTAACCAGTGTGAGGTGATACCTCATTGTAGTTCTGATTGGCATTTCTCTAATAATTAGTGATGTTGAGGAGCTTTTCATGTGCCTATTGGCCATCAGTATGTCTTCTTTGGAGAAATGTCTATTTAGGCCTTCTGTCCATTTTTTGACTGGGTTGTTTGTTGTTTTTAATATTGGGCTCCATTTTGGAGATTAATCCTCTGTCTGTTGATATGTTTGCAAATATTTTCTCCCACTCTGAGGGTTGGCTTTTCGTCTTGTATATAGTTTCCTTTGCTGTCCAAAAGCTTTTAAGTTTCATTAGGTCCCATTTGTTTATTTTTGTTTTTATTTCCATTACTCTAGGTGGTGGGTCAAAAAAGATCTTGCTGTGTTTTATGTCAAAGAGTGTCCTTCCTATGTTGTCCTCTAAGAGTTTTATAGTGTCTGATCTTACATTTAGGTCTTTAATCCATTTGGAGTTTATTTTGTGTATGGTGTTAGGGAGTGTTATAACTGCATTATTTTACACGTAGCTGTCCAGTTTTCCCAGCACCACTTATTGAAGAGGCCATCTTTTCTCCATTGTATATCCTTGCCTCTTTGTCATAGATTAGTTGACCATAGGTGTGTGGGTTTATCTCTGGGATTTCTATCCTGTTCTATTGATCTCTATTTCTGTTTTTCTGCCAGTGCCATATTGTCTTGATTAATGTAGCTTTGTAGTATAATCTGAAGTCAGGGAGACTGATACTTCCAGCTCCATTTCTTTTTCTCAAGATTACTTTAGCTATATGGGGTTTTTTGTGTCTAGAAGATGTTTTGTTCTAGTTCTGTAAAAATTGCCAGTGGTAATTTGATAGGGATTGCATTGACTCTGTAGATTGCTTTGGGTAATATAGTCATTTTCACTATAATGATTCTTCCAATCCACAAACATGGTATATCTCCATCTGTTTGTGTAATCTTTGATTTTATCATCAGTGTCATAATTAACTGAGAACAGGTCTTTTACTGCCTTAGGTAGGTTTATTCCTAGGTATTTTATTCTTTTTGTAGCAATGGTGAATGGGATTGTTTCCTTAATTTCTCTTTCTGATCTTTCGTTGTTAGTGTATAGGAATGCAAGAGATTTCTGTGCATTAATTTTGTATCCTGCTACTTTACCAAATTCATTGATTAGCTCTAGTAGTTTTCTGGTGGCATCTTTAGGATTCTCTGTATATAGTATCATGTCATCTGCAAACAGTGACAGTTTTACTTCTTCTTTTCCAGTTTGTATTCTTTTTATTTCCTTTTCTTCTCTGATTTCCATGGCTAGGACTTCCAAAACTATGTTGAATAATAGTGGCAAGAGTGGATGTCCTTGTGTTGTTCCTGATCTTAGAGAAAATGCTTTCAGTTTTTCACCATTGAGAATGATGTTTGCTGTGGGTTTGTCATAAATGGCCTTTATTATATTGAGGTAGGTTCCCTCTGTGCAAACTTTCTGGAGAGTTTTTATCATAAATGGATGTTGAATTTTGTCAGAACCTTTTTCTGCATCTATTGAGATGATCATATGGTTTTTATTCTTCAGTTTGTTAATATGGCGTATCACATTGATTCATTTGAGTATATTGAAGGATCCTTGCCTCCCTGGGGTAAACCCCACTTGACCATTGTGTATGATCCTGTTAATGTGTCATTGGACTCTGTTTGCTACTATTTTGCTGAAGATTTTTGCATCTATATTCATCAGTGATATTGGTCTGTAATTTTCTTTTTTTGTGGTATATTTGTCTGGTTTTGGTATCAAAGTGATGGTGGCCTTGTAGAATGAGTTTGGGAGTGTTCCTTCTGCAAATTTTGGAAGAGTTTGAGAAGCATTGGTGTTAGCTCTTCTCTAAATGTTTGATAGAATTCACCTGTGAAGCCATCTGGTCCTGGACTTTGGTTTGTTGGAAGATTTTTGATCACAGTTTCAATTTCATTATTTGTGATTTGTCTGTTCATATTTTTTATTTCTTCCTGGTTCAGTCTTGGAAAGTTATACCTTTCTAAGAATTTGTCCATTTCTTCCAGGTTGTCCATTTTATTGGCATAGAGTTACTTGTCATAGTCTCTTATGATATTTTGTATTTCTGTGGTGTCTGTTGTAACTTCTTTTTCATTTCTAATTTTATTGGTTTCAGTCCTCTCCCTCTTTTTCTTCATGAGTCTGGCTAAAGTTTTATCAATTTCTTTTATCTTCTCAGAGAACCAGCTTTTAGTTTTATTGTTCTTTGCTATTGTTTTCTTTGTTTCTATTTCATTTATTTCTGCTCTGATCGTTATGATCTCTTTCCTTCTACTAACTTTGAGTTTTGTTTGTTCTTCTTTCTCTAGTTGCTTTAGGTGTAAGTTCAGATTGTTTATTTGAGATGTTTCTTGTTTCTTGAGGTAGGCTTTTATTGCTATAAACTTCCCTCTTAGAACTGCTTTTGCTGAATCCCATAGGTTTTGGATCATTGTGTTTTCGTTGTCATTTGTCTCTAGGTAATTTTTGATTTCCTCTTTGATTTCTTCAGTGATCTCTTGGTTATTTAGTAATGTATTGTTTAGTTCCATGTGTTTGTGTTTTTTACATTCTTTTCCCTGTAATTGATTTCTAATCTCATAGTGTTGTGGTCGGAAAAGATGCTTGATATGATTTCAATTTTCTTAAATTTACCAAGGCTTGATTTGTGACCCAAGATGTGATTTATCCTGGAGAATGTTCCATGTGCACTTGAGAAGGAAGTGTCATCTTCTGTTTTTGGATGGAATGTCCTATAAATATCAATTAAATCTATCTGGTCTATTGTGTCATTTACAGCTTGTGTTTCCTTATTAATTTTCTGTTTGGATGATCTGTCCACTGGTGTAATGAGGTGTTAAAGTCCCACACTATTATTGTGTTACTGTCAATTTCTTCTTTTATAGCTGTTAGAGTTTGCCTTATGTTTTAGGGTGCTCCTATGTTGGGTGCATATATATTTATAATTTTTATATCTACTTCTTGGATTGATCCCTTGATCATTATGTTGTGTCCTTCCTTGTCTCTTGTAGCATTCTTTATTTTAAAGTCTATTTTATCTGATATGAGTATTGCTACTCCAGCTTTCTTTTGATTTCCATTTGCATGGAATATCTTTTTCCATCCCCTCCCTTTCAGTCTGTATGTGTCCCTAGGTCTGAAATGGGTCTCTTGTAGACAGCATATACATGGGTCTTGGTTTTGTATCCATTCAGCAAGCCTGTGTCTTTTGGTTGGATCATTTAATCCATTGATGTTTAAGGTAATTATCGATATGTATGTTCCTATGACCATTTTCTTATTGTTTTGGGTTTGTTTATGTAGGTCCTTTCCTTGTCTTGTGTTTCCCACTTAGAGAAGTTCCTTTAGCATTTGTTGTAGAGCTGGTTTGATGGTGCTGAATTCTCTTAGCTTTTGCTTGTCTATAAAGCTTTTGATTTCTCCATCGAATCTGAATGAGATCCTTTCTGGGTAGAGTAGTCTTGGTTGTAGGTTCTTCCCTTTCATCACTTTAAGTATATCATGCCACTCCCTTCTGGCTTGTAGAGTTTCTGTTGAGACATCAGCTGTTAACCTTTTTGGAGTTCCCTTGTATGTTATTTGTCATTTTTCCATTGTTGCTTTTAATAATTTTTCTTTGTCTTTAATTTTTGTCAATTTGATTACTATGTGTCTCAGCATGTTTCTCCTTGGCTTTATCCTGCCTTGGACTCTCTGTGCTTCCTGGACTTGGGTGGTTATTTCTTTTCCCATGTTAAGGAAGTTTTCGACTATAATCTCTTCAAGTATTTTCTCGGCTCCTTTCTCTCTCTCTTCTCTTTCTGGGACCCCTATAATGCAAATGTTTCTGCATTTAATGTTGTCCCAGAGGTCTCTTAGGCTTTCTTCATTCTTTTCATTCTTTTTTCTTTATTCTGTTCTGCAGCAGTGAATTCCACCATTCTGTCCTCTAGGTCATTTATCCGTTTTTCTGCCTCAGTTATTCTGCTATTGATTCCTTCTAGTGTAGTTTTCATTTCAGTTATTGTATTGTTCCTCTCTGTTTGTTCTTAATTCTTCTAGGTCTTTGTTAAACATTTCTTGCACCTTCTCCATCTTTGCCTCCATTCTTTTCTGAGGTCCTGGATCATCTTCACTATCATTATTCTGAATTCTTTTTCTGGCAGGTTGCCTATCTCCACTTCATTTAGCTGTTTTTCTGGGGTTTTATCTTGTTACTTCATCTGGTACATAGCCCTCTGCCTTTTCATCTTGTCTATCTTTCTGTGAATGTGGTTTTTTTTCTACAAGCTTCAGAATTGTGGTTCTTCTTGATTTTGCTATCTTCCCTCTGGTGGATGAGGCTATCTAAGAGGCTTGTGCAAGTTTCCTCATGGGAGGGACTGGTGGTGGGTAGAGCTGGGTGTTGCTCTGGTGGGCAGAGCTCAGTAAAAATTTAATCCCCTTGTCTGCTGATGGGTAGGGCTGTTGGTTCCCTCCCTGTTGGTTGTTTGGCCTGAGGTGACCCAGCACTGGAGGCTACAGGCTCTTTGGTAGGACTAATGGCAGAGTGTGGGAGGGCTAATGCCAAGGAGTACTTCCCAGAACTTCTGCTGCCAGTGTCCTTGTCCCCGTGGTGAGCCACAGCCAACCCCCACCTCTGCAGGACACCCTCCAATACTAGCAGGTTGGTCTGCTTCAGTCTCCTATGGGGTCACTGCTCCTTCCCCTGGGTCCTGATGTGCACACTACTTTGTGTGTGCCCTCCAAGAGTGGAGTCTCTGTTTCCCCTAGTCCTGTCCAAGTCCTGCAATCAAATCCCACTAGGCTTCAATGTCTGATTCTCTGGGAATTCCTCCTCCCATTGCCAGAACCCCAGGGTGGGAAGCCTGACTTGGTGCTCAGAACCTTCACTCCAGTGGATGGACTCCTGTGGTGTAATTGTTCTGCAGTTTGTGAGTCACCCACCCAGTGGTTATAGATGTTGATTTTATTGTGATTGCACCCCTCCTACTGTCTCATTGAGGCTTCTCCTTTGTCTTTGGATGTGGGGTATCTTTTTTGTTGAGTTCCAGTGTCTTCCTGTCGATGATTTTTCAGCAGTTAGGTGTGATTCCAGTGCTCTCGCAAGAGGGAGTGAGCTCACGTCCTTCTGCTCTGCCATCTTGAACCAATCTCCCTCAAGTCTGTTTTTTAAATATTTGTTCTTAGAGGTCATCTGAGAAATAACTGTTGTCAGTATTACCAATGCAGCGTTGAAATAACATTGAAATGCTGGAATTGAACTTTTATAACTGCCTCTGGTTTAGTGCTAATCAATTACAGAGGGAGCAAAATACCAAGTAAGGGCTTGGAAAATTCCACATGGGAAAGGGAAACCTCGCTAAGCACTAGGAAGAAAATCTCTCATCTTCCAAAAGGAGTCTAATAGGTGGGTGAGTGCAGGGCTCAGACAATGGGCTACATCACGCTCAGCTCTTTCTGAAATGTTTCAGCTCTTCCAACGGTGTGTGCTGCCATTAGAAATTTCTTATTCAACTACAAAAACAAGAATCCCCTGTGACCCTAAACTGAAGTTCTTTGATCACAACATTTGCAAAGGCTTATTGGAGAATCTTTTGTGGAATTAAATTTATTTGGAAATGCTATTGTTTTACCAGTGGAAGAAAAGAATTCAGAGCTTATAAAATGAACATGCTGAAAAGATGTAGCCAGTTGTCTGTAATGAAACCCAGATGTAAGGAACTTTGAAAGAGAAAGGTCCTTTTCCTGCCTATTCTAGACAGTGTCAGGGAAAAATTATGTCATATGATCTGTCTCAGTTTAGACAGAGATGAAATATTTGTCATTTGACAGTAGACCTCTGTAGTCTCCTTTTCGTTACCACCACAGTCGTACTCAAGAGCATATCTTCATGGGTTAGAGGTTTTTGACAAAGATGAGTGGTTGGGTAGTCGGTAGAATGGCACATGCTCAAGCTTGATAAGCACTGAGCTAATAATAATGCAGTTTCCAAAGCCAATGCCATTTCATTATTTTTAAAAATTGCCTGAGATATCTGTGCCTTGTGAGAGGTACACTTAGAGAATTCTGATTTTGAATACAGAGCTCTCCAGATATAATATTTCTGATGAAGGAACTTACAAATTATGGAACAAAACGATTGTGAATACCTCTTGGTAAACAAAGAGATTGAGAGTAACATCAGCAAGATGGCAGATTAGGAAGCTTCAGGCCCTTGTTCCGTTATGGAAAGATTTGGAAAAACAAAAACAAAGAACAGAAGACTGGCTAAAATAACATTATAGGAACTCTGGAAAACAAAGAGATCAAAATAGAGACAGTGCTTGGAGGCAAAACACTTAGCTCCTGACTTATAGTGGATAGACATTTGGCCCCCAGGAAGGGAGGGCTTGGGTTGGCCAAGTGTCTGGTTTTTCAGAGAGCTAAAGGGTTGGACCCCAGGACTTTGTTCACAATTCAAGCATTAAGCACACACACATTCACACACACATGGATTGCTTTGAAGTTACTGAGAAGAGCCTCAATGTGACTCATAAAATGCAGTTGTCATAAGCCTTTCCATGAGCTACTCCATGAGAATATTGTTTTACTTGTAAAATAAGTGTACTGTAGTTTAGGGATTTTGTTTAAATGCTTGCACACTATACTTTTACATTTATAAAAAAGAAAGAAAGGAAAATCTTTATTCATATAGTAGGATTTACTTACAAAAATGATACTTGGAAAGTAAGTCTTTCTTCTCCCTCTTTTGTGCTAGTCCCTTCAGCATTCACACATACACATACACAGATGCACACAAACATACACATGTGAGCTGTATTTATAGTTATTAATTTGTAAAGTGCATTTGAAAGCACACATTAACTCTAGAATCTTTATAAATACAGGAAAATTAGTTAAGCAGCAGGAAAAATTAAAGGAAAAAGTGCAGTAAACCATTACATATTAAACAGAAATGATAATCATGTTAATGGAAAGGGGAAATATAATAAGTGATAAAAGTGGGATATAAATGGTTTATAGAGTCTCAATTTTGAGTGAAAATAATGCATTAGGGCTACCCTGGTGGCGCAGTGGTTAAGAGTCCGCCTGCCGATGCAGGGGACACGGGTTCGTGTCCCAGTCCGGGAAGATCCCACATGCCACGGAGCGGCTAGGCCCGTGAGCCATGGCCGCTGAGCCTGCGCGTCCGGAGCCTGTGCTCCGCAACGGGAGAGGCCACAACAGTGAGAGAGGCTCCCCCCAAAAAAAAAAAAAAAAAAAAAAAGCATTAAAAGGCCTGGAAGGAAAAAATATTGAATCACTATGTTGTACACCTGAAATTAATATAATATTGTAAATCAACTATATTTCAATAAAAAATTTTTAATAAAAAATAAAAAGCATGGCAGGAAATGGTAAAATTTTTAGTTGGTGGAATATAGTAATTTTTATTTTCTTCTTTCAGCATTTACACTTTTGCAAAACTATCTGAAGTAGCAGTTTATTGATTTTTAAATAGAAAAGAGAAAAGCATGACTTGACACTAAAGTGTTTTATTTAGATTGTTAAAACTAGAAATATAAGATGTTCTTGCACTTGTGTTAGATGCATAATATCTTTGAAAAGCAAAACCCTGAGTAATAATGATAATTAATGCTTCTTGTGCTCACAGTCTATCATTTTGACTTTCTCACTTTGTTTATTATACTAATTTTTGTACACAGAATTGAAGACACACGTGACGATCTCCCAAAGACACAGCGATCTTTAGTACAGTTTTTTCCAACGTCAGCGGATTCAGATACCACTACACTGCCATGTTCATGGTCATTATCCAATGAAATACCTCTCAGTTACTATCTGTCCAGCCCTCAGGTTAGTGGAGTAACTTTTTCAACAATTGGACCAAAGCCACCTAAACCTGCTCTAGTGAGTCATTCCCAATCAGAAGACAGCTTGGGTAAGCAAAACATGTACCAAGTTTTTTAGAGTACTTTTAAAGCATATAGTTCAATAGAGTCTTTATGTGCCTAGAAGCCAGAATGATGTTTTATTATTTGTCTCCAATAATACTAATTTCTTAATGTCATATGCAGAATAACTTGACTCTGCCCATCATTGATTCTAGCACTGGAGTCATATTCAAGTCACATAAACATATGTGGCCAAGGACATCATCTGTGATTAAAATATCTTGAGTTATCATAATGATTCATGGGTTGACCACTTAGATGCTCTAGAATTGCTAAATGATTAAAAGTTCTAATGTATAGAATTAACTGCCCTTCCTCTGAATGCTACCAGAAAGATTAACAATGTCTTATGTATGTTATGCTTTAGGAGGCTATGGCTTAAGTAAGGAAAGACGGGTAGATAAGAGAGAAAAGAAATATAAAGTAGGTAATAAAATGGTGGAGAGAAAGGGGAAAACAGTAAAGAATTTGGAGAAGAGAAAAATGAAAACAGCAGTAAAGTTTTGACAGTTGCCAACAATGCACTCAGCAGTGCTCACACTATGAGGTGTATGTTCCTCACCATGAGGGTATGTTATCAAGGTTTACTGAAAAGACCACTGCCCTTGGAAACAGAGGACCTAGGTTCAAACCCCCTTTCTAGTCCCAATAACATGGGACATTAAGTAAGTATTTAGCATCTCTGAGTCCCATTTTCCATACCTACAAAATGGGGATTAAAATATCAACTTCACAGGGCTATCCTAAGAATTAAATGAGATATTTATGAACATCACCTAGCATATAGTAAGTGTGCTCAATAAAATTAGTTGTGAATCCGAATGTATCTGTAAGTACCTTCTCATAGAATAGGTGAGATTTGGGGTCTGTATTACCAGTCAACTAACAAGTTTCAAAACTGTTAACATGAATACACCCATGACTACCTGATGTCTTCATTTTCCTCTACCATTCTGTGGACATTTACAGCCTTGCTCCTTCCTATCTACATTTCATTTTGTTCCTGGTATTTTCCTAAGCCTTTGACACAGTGTTATATAGGATTTTGATCTACTGCCATTATTGTCATATTCCCTGTGCTTCATTGTTTGTATGCCTAAGATACATTTTTTGAAGAAGCCTCCTAAATTCACAATGACCTTTAGCAATGACCAAAATCTCCTATCTACATTTCATTTTGTTCCTGGTATTTTCCTAAGCCTTTGACACAGTGTTATATAGGATTTTGATCTACTGCCATTATTGTCATATTCCCTGTGCTTCATTGTTTGTATGCCTAAGATACATTTTTTGAAGAAGCCTCCTAAATTCACAATGACCTTTAGCAATGACCAAAATCTATATGCTTGGGCTTCCCTGGTGGCGCAGTGGTTGAGAGTCCGCCTGCCGATGCAGGGGACACGGGTTCGTGCCCCGGTCCGGGAAGATCCCACATGCCGCGGAGCAGCTGGGCCCGTGAGCCATGGCCGCTGAGCCTGTGCGTCCGGAGCGGGTGCTCCGCAACGGGAGAGGCCACAACAGTGAGAGGCCCGTGTACCCCCCCAAAAAAAAAAAATCTATATGCTTAAAAGTGAAAATACACATTTTATATCTAAGGAGGTAATATTTCTCATCCTTTGGCACTGTATCATCATGGTATATGTTCTATATTTGAGTTGAACTGTGAAAGCTCCTAGTATTGAGGGGGGTAACAAATATACTGGTTTCACCTTTTGCAAGATGAGAGTTGTGCTGGGACGAAGTCTTCTTCAGTTACTGTAGGTTCTGACTCTGTAGATAGATGGCTGAGTCTACCAAGACTTGTTGCATTTGGTTCATTTCATTTCTAGTTGAGATAATAACTGGAACTAAAATCAATGTGTCTTCTTTCCTTTTAGAATACAAAGATTTTCATCCCTCAGGATGAGCTATTAAGGATGCTATATATTCTCTTCCCCCAAAGGACTTTAAAGATTAAGGGAATACTCACTTGAATGGGAATGAACTAATTCAATTCCAAATATTACTTCTAAACAAATTACTCTGAGGAATCCTCTTTAGGAGCTATATGTTTATTTTTTTCCATCTTTCACATTGCTTTGGCTTTGTTAAAGACACAAGAAGATAAAGCACACTCTAGATTGTCTTAATCCTTTGATGATTTTGGATTCAGGGTCACGTTGACCAAAGTCCCTGTACTACAATAATAGCTATCATTTATTGAGTACCTGCTAAATGCCAGATACTGTGCTAGACACTTACCTATATTATCTTCAATCCTCACATCGCCTCACACAAAGTAGTATTATCCTTATTTTATTTTCAGGAAAACTGAGAATTGGAAGGTTTAAATCATTTGGCTTAGTAAGTGACAGAGCTGGGGTACAGATGTGTCTAAATACAAGACACATTGCTCTATCTATTTCATAATGATGCCTGTCTGTAGTGTTACTCTCTCTTTGCAGATACATAATTAGATTTATCCAGCATGATCCTTTCTATGCAAAATCTTGAAACTTATTTTGTATTTGAATCTTACTACTGAGAATTTTAAAAGAGTAAGAGGTTAGTAGAATCTGATTAAGCATTACTTTATCTTTTTAATAAAGTATTTTAGTTAATTAGAGGAAATTTAAGTCTTTACCTGGCAAAATACAAACCATTGGTAGGAAAGGACTCATCTGAGACTTTAATTTATGAGTAGCAATTTGGGGAGAAAAGCTAATACAAAAGAGAATAAAGTTGTACTTACATATAATGTACCAAATTTGAGAGACTCAAATGTTTTACCTACTCAAAAACTTATGATGCTTGTAGTACAACTTAATCGGTTAAATTGTAGTTATGCTGATGATACAATTGATAGTTTAAGATAACTGCAATAATCTCTAGGAATTGAGTGTCACTAAAAATAATCACTGGTTATTTTATAGACTGGTTTAAAGCTTCGAACTATCCTCACTTAGTTTGACTGTGACAGTAAAATGTATAAAGAATATCATTTTGTAGAAGCAAAGAATAAAGGTAGTAGCTTTGGTTTCTTTTAATCTTTTATTTACTTCTCTCTCTATTGTTTCCTTCTTTGGTTTCTTTGAAAGGACTCAACAACTTCAAAATTCCAAAGAAGCACACTATGCCGGTGCTTGCTTCTCAGCCAGCTGTGATTGGGGAAGGGGAAGATTATTTCCTATCTTTGTTTGGTGATTCAAAGAAACTTGTCGTGCACTCATTCCACACCAAGAAAACTTGGAAGCACTTTTCTATGATTCTTGAAGAAGTGGGCCAATCTAGATCCAGGTAAATACTCTATTTGAATTATTTAATATCTTCTATTGGGGTAGGAGTAATAAATTAGTAGGAAATAAAGTTCTAAACTGTTGTTAGATCCATGATCTCATCTAAGACCCTAAGCAATCCATTAAAATATAACTGTTTCATATTCTGGGCAGTTAAAAGGAATCAATATAACTTTCTAGGGAACCAAACAAGGAAAGTTAATTCTTCAAAGGTGCCAGAGAAAACAGCACTACATAAGGCTTACCAATAAAGTTAACTCAATTATTCAAGAATATTTTCATTATTGGCAAATCAATCAGATGGATTTAGAATCCTTTTTTTTCTGTCTTGAGTTCAAGACAGAAGGAAAAAGATGGACTTATAACTTACTGATCCATTTTTATGGTTATTAGTATCTGTAGAAAAAAAGAATTGATCAGGAAGAAAGTTGATATTAGAACTAAAATAAAAGCTGACGCATCTATGCATTTACTTAACCTTGCTTTTCTTCTTGCACAAACAACAGATTAAATTGTGAATTTTTAGTAATAAACACATTTTAAAAAATTTTTATTGAAGTATAGTTGATTCGCAATGTTGTGTTAATTTCGGGTATACGGCAAAGTGACTCAGTTATACATATATATACATTCTTTTTCATATTCTTTCCATTATGATTTATCACAGGATACTGAATATAGTTCCCTGTGCTATACAGTACAACCTTGTTGTTTATCCATCCTATGTATACTAGTTTGCATCTGCTAATCCCAAACTCCCAATCCTTCCCTCCCCCACCCCTCCTCCCCCTTGGCAACCAAAAGTCTGTTCTCTATGTCTGTGAGTTTGTTTATGTTTCATAGATACATTCATTTGTGTCATACTTTAGATTCCACATATAAGTGATACCCTATGGTATTTGTCTTTCCCTTTCTGACTTACTTCACTTAGTATGATAATCTCTCAGTCCATCCATGTTGCTGCATATGGCATTATTTCATTCTTTTTTTATGGCTGATGTATAGATAGATAGATAGATAGATAGATACCCCACATCTTCTGTATCCATTCATCTGTCAATGGACATTTAGGTTGTTTCCATGTCTTGGCTATTGTAAATAGTGCTGCTATGAACATTGGGGTGCATGTTTCTCTTTGAATTATAGTTTTGTCTGGATATATGCCCAGGAGTGGGATTGCTGGATCATATGGCAACTCTATTTTTATATTTTTGAGGTATCTCCATACTGTTTTCCATAATGGCTGCACCAATTTACATTCCCACCAACAGTGTGTGAGGGTTCCCTTTTCTTCACACCCTCTCCAACATTTATTATTTGTAGACTTTTTAGTTATGGCCATTCTGACCGATGTGAGGTGGTACCTCACTGCAGTTTTGATTTGCATTTCTCTAATAATTAGTGATGATGAGCATCTTTTTTGTGTGCCTTTTGGCATCTATATGTCTTCTTTGGACAAATGTATATTTACGTCTTCTGCCCATTAGTGATAAGCATATGTTGATAGAGGGTGTTTGAGGACTAAAAGAAGTTGTTAGCCAAAGTTAAGGGTCAAACATAAAGGAAACCTTTTCCCCCTTATGTCAGATTTCCTAAAATCAACCACTTTTGCCACTTAATTGTAGTGAATACCCAAGTGTTCTCTCAACCATCTAAAAGCACTTCATCAAATTATTCATACAGTACTTACCATGTTAAAAATGCTGACTTATTTTCAGCAAAACTTCAAAAAAAACTTATGAATATGGTTTTAAGAAACTTTACTCAGACAGATCATGAAGACCTTCAGGTAAGGATCAAGAGAGAAGCAAATAAAGTAATAAGGCATTCAGAGGATAGCTTTCTTCCCAGCAGAGATGATCTGGGAAGATTTTGTGAAGGAGTTATCGTGGAAAACATCTTGGAAAGATAAGTACATTTTGGATATGCAAATTTGGAGTCTCTGAGAATATTCTAGACCATTGGTTTTCAACTCTACCCACAAAATTGAATCACCTGGGGAGCTTTTAATGTCCTGACTCTACACCAGACTCTTTGAATCAAAATTTCTAGTGGAATTGGGCATCGTATTTTGTTTTTTTGGTTTTTGTTTTAAATGCCATGGTAATTTTAATGCACAGCCAGGGCTGAACAAAGGAGCAGCATAAACAAAATGAAGGAGGCAGAAAAGCTAAGGTCAGATATGAGTATAAGCATGGCTGTACTGAGCAGTGCATGAAGAGGTATAACAGGGTTGTAGGCGTCAGGGTTGGAGACAGATCACAGTGAGCATTGAATACCAGACTATGTAGACTTCACTATGGGCAATGGGAAGCAATGGGAAAGTTTCAAACAAAGGAGTGACAGGATTCTGATTCAGAATATTTGATCTGTGGCAATGAATATATGAATGAATGCTGGATTTTGTCAAATGCCTTTTATACATCTGTTGAGATGATCATATGATTTTTTATTTCTTAAATGTTAAAGTAAACCTGCACTCTTAGAATAAACCTCCCTTGGTCAGAATGTTTATCTTTTTCATATATTGTTGAATTCAATTGGCTAAAATTTTGTTTCAAATTTTTGCATCTATGTTTGTGAAGAATATTGGCCTGTAGTTTTCTTTACCTGTTAATGTCTTTGTCTGCTCTGGTATCAGGGTAATACTCAACTCATTAAATGAGTTGGGATATATTCCCTCCACTTTTACTTTCTAGAAGAGTTTGTGTAGAAGTAATATTATTTTTTCCTTAACTATTTTATAGAATTCATCAGTGAAGCCATCTGGGCCTGGAGTTATTTTGTGAGAAGGTTTTTACCTACAGATTTTATTTCTTTAAAAATAAATGTCAAGATAGTCTGGTTACCTATTTCTTCTTGAGTGAACTTGAGTAGTTTGTGTCTTTCAAGGAATTTGTCCATTTCATCTAAGTTGTCAGATTTATTGTTGTAAAATTGTACATAATATTCACTTATTATCCTTTTAGTATCTATAGAATCTGTAGTGATGTCACATTTCTTATTGCTGATACTGGCCTTATGTGTCCTCTCTCTTTTTCCTGATAAATCTTGCCCAAGAGTTATCAATTTTGTTGAGCTTCAAAGAATCAGTGTTTCATTTAATTGATTTTCTCTAATTTTTTTGCTTTGTTTTCTATTCATAGATTTCCATTCTGATCTGTATTCCCTTTCTTCTGCCTACTTCAGGTTTCATTTGTTTTTTTTTTCTAGTTTCTCAAGGTGGAAGTTGAGATCATTGATTTGAAAACATCTTGCCTTCTAATACAAGCATTTAGCACTGTAAAATTTCCCCTAACTACAGCTTTTAGTGGAATCCCACAAATTTTGATGTGTTTTATTTTTATTTTCATTCACTTCAAAATACCTTTTTTTTAAATTTAAGTAGAGTTGATTTACAATATTTTATTAATTTCAGGTGTGTAGCATAATGATTCATTTTTTATTATATTCCATTATAGATTATTACAAGATAGTGAATTCCTTGTGTTATACAGTAAAGTTTTGTTGCTTCTGTATTTTAGGTGTAGTAGTCTGTATCTGTTAATCCCATACTCCTAATTTGTCCCTCCCCTGCCCTGCCTCTCCCCTTGATAACCATAAGTTTGTTTTCTATATCTGTGAGTCTTTTTCTGTTTTGTATATAGATTCATTTGTATTATTTTTTAGATTCCCACATGTGATATATTATTTGTCTTTCTCTGACTTACTTCACTAAGTATAAAATTCTCTTGGTCCATCCATGTTGCTGCCAATGGCAATATTTCATTCATTTTTATGCCTGAGTAATATTCCATTGTGTGTGTGTGTGTGTGTATATATATATATATATATATATATATATATATATATATATATATATATATATATATATACCACATCTTCGTTATCCACTCCTCTGTTGATGGGCACTTGGGTTGTTTCCATCGCTTGGCTATTGTAAATAGTACTACTATGAACATTGGGGTGCATGTATCTTTTCAAATTTGAGTTTCCACATTTTCCAGATATATGCCCAGGAGTGGGATTGCTGGATCATACGGTAGCTCTATTTTTAGTTTTGAAGGAACCTCTGTACTGTCTTCCATAGTGGCTGCACCAATTTACATTCCCACCAACAGTAGGAGGGTTTTATTTTCTCCACACCCTCTCCATCATTTATTATTTGTAGACTTTTTAATGATAGCCATTCTGACAGGTGTGAGGTGATTCCCCATTGTGGTTTTGATTTGCATTTCTCTAATAATTAGCGATGTTGAGCATCTTTTCATGTGTCTTCTTTGGAAAAATGTCTGGGTTTTTTTGCCCATTTTGGATGTGGTTTTTTGTTTCTTCACTATTGAGTTGTATGAGCTGTTTATATATTAACCCCCTGTTGGTTGCATCATTTGCAATTGTTTTCCCCCATTCCATAGGTTATCTTTTCGTTTTGTTGATGGTTTCCTTTGCTGTGCGAAAGCTTTTAAGTTTGGTTATGTCCCATTTGTTTACTTTTGCTTTTACTTTTACTTTTGCCTTGGGCGACTGATCTAAGAAAATATTGCTACAACCTATGTTAAATTATGTTCTGCCTATGTTCTCTTCTAGGAGTTATATGGTGTCATGTCTTACATTTAGGTCTTTAAACAATTTTGACTTTACTTTTGCATATGGTGTGAGGAAATGTTCTAATTTCATTGATTTACATCCAGCTTTAGCTGTCCAGCTTTCCCAGCACCACTTGTTGCAGAGATGGTCATTTCTCCATTGTATATTCTTATTTCCTTTGCCATACATTAATTGATAATAGGTGTGTGGGTTTATTTCTGGGCTCTCTATCTTGTTGCATTGATCCATAAGTCTGTTTTTGTGCCAATACCACAGTTTTGATTACTGTAGGTTTGTAGTACAGTCTGAAGTGTGGAAGAGTTACACTTCCAGCTTTTGTTCTTTTTCCTCAGTATTGCTTTGGCAATTCTGGTTTTTTTGTGATTCCATACAAATTTTAAGATATTTGCTCTG